TCTTTCGACATAATAATTGGTAATATTACGGATACTATTAAAGAGAGCCTGATACTATCCTTCGTTATGTTTAATGAGACATCGGAGGAAATATATTAATTGAAATGTCAATTCAAAAAGTTTGTTATGACATCAGAACATATATAAGGTATCATTATTCAAATGATAGAATTTGAGTTATAATGCGTTTATCAAAATAAACTCTTTATGGTAAATTAAGAAACTTTTAATGGGAATGTAATCTGGTCAATATCTTCATAAATTTGGAAGACTTTTATGCGGTTAAATTTACATTTAGCCATCCCGTTATCGCTGGAGCTATTTTATTATTTTTTTTTTTTACGGTACCAAATCCCATAAACAAAGACGAGCACGGTGTTATTTGTTTTTCTTGATTATTGGGATAACAAGCATAAGCTTATTAGTATGCTAAATAAATCTTTCACGAGCATAAAGTAGAGGTGAAATCTTATTGAGAATCATACGAGCTCTGAAGCTTGTTCATAATGTATTTGATACCCCCAATAGAAGCGATATTTGGCAGTATAATTGTTTCTAGTAAAACCCCTAAAAATTCTCAAGTCAAACGTAAAATAGTAAATACGGGATATAAGAGCTCGTTACAGAAAATAATTCATGAAAATATAAAACTTTGAGATAACTCTGTAGTAAGTATATACGTCATAAGACAGTACTCCATTACAGAGCATTCCAGTAAACCGGTAATACAGTCTGGAAGGTCACAAGCATCGTATCAGTTTACACGGCAAGGAACACGGCATTATAATGAGTCGAAAAGATACAAAAAGCGCACGAGATCAATTCCAAAGCCAAGAGGTACAAATCGGTTGGGTAAAATGATTCTAGGTATAGGTTTACTTTCGTAGGCGGATTTTCGAAAATTATCCGCGCATCATCGAGCACGCACAGTGAGCTCTGTGTAGTCATTGTTAGCAGACAGTAGAAGCGTCATGATGCATCGACGTCCCTGTTACACAATGCGCATGCGTGACAAAGGCTAAAGGACATCGACACGAGAAAAAGGAAAATTCTTCGATTCGTTCGCTTGTAAAATTCACAATTCCTCTCTAACCTCCACGTGGATACCTCGATTGTGTACGAAAGGCGTTAAGTAGGTAAATTCTCGAGCGTGCGCGCGCAGATCTTAGGCCTCTAATGCAAAAAGCGTGTTTCACCAAAATATATTTAATATCTCTACCGCGGTAACGTGCGATCCGTAATGGCGGACATTTTGGTATTGTCCTCAGCGAGAAAACGGTTTCAACTTTCGAGTGCCCGCAGCCTGAACTCGAGTGTTGTCGGCTGTCGGTGGCTTTTTTCAGCTTTGATCGAGCGCCACTTCAGAGTGCATAAGATGAAATGAATTAATGTTGGGAACGTGGAAAAAAAATATTAAGAGCAGGAGAGCCAACAACAAAAAAAAAGAGAGAGAATTACGTGTTCCGCGCTACTTCTTGGGTACTCTCCTTTTTATGTGTACTTTATGTCGACGGTTGATGTCGCACGCTATTTATATATCAACAGTGTACTTCGTATTATGAATCTTTACATAGAGACACTCAGAGAAACATTCAACGGTTTCAATGGCATAAAATGTATATACTAATATTAGAGTATATATAGATATACTGACAAGGTAAACAAATAAATCAATTAGAAATCGAATAATACCTTATTTTATATATACAAAATTTCTGTACGTTATCGATGGATCGGTGCGGAAGTATACACTTAAAAAGACATTGACAAACTATCCGAATTCGCGTGCCGTTTAGAAATTTTTTTAACAGTCTATTAGTATGCAAAGCTCGGTATTTGAGTAGAGAAGAGAATTACACGTTTCACCGATAAAGCAAACGAAGGACCCTTCCCATTTAAGTTGGTGTTGGCATTAGGCAGAAACGTGTCTGATTAAACAAAGCAATTTAGTTAGATGCCTACATTGGAGAAACTCGCGCTGGCAAAGTCGAAAATAAACAAGCAATCATAATTAGCAAATGTTATTGCGTCCGAGAGAGCGCCATTCACTCTCCAAGATTGTCATGTTCCTACTTAAAGACAACGTAAGGCTATAGAAAAAATTAAACGGAAATTTTGGACGCCTGATATCCGCATGGATATCTGCAGTACGTTCCACAATATAGAAGCGATAGCGAAATGGATTCTTTCTCACCAGACTTCAAGTTTATTATGAAAGTATTACGATAAATATTATAAAGACAAAAATGCATTCAGAAAACAGAAAGAGCAATTCAAGATAGCATTGGATAATGTAAAACAATATTATGCACAACATAACCACGAAATCGCGTGTCCATATTTCTCGAGACTGTCCATCTCGTCCAGAATGACAGTTCCTTTCGGGACGTTGTTTACTCTACGATTACTTTCCATCGGCAAACTAAACGAGACATTAGAACTGTGCACGAGAGTTCGTGATTTTAATAATCGACAAAGACTCACCGAAAGCAAACGAGGATGTTCCTGCGATAGCTGGATCGGTGTAGATAGCTGTAGATCACTGCCATAACTAATCTGACTGACTGTCCCTAAATTAGCACCCACAATCGCGACGGTTAGAAGAAGCAGACTGAATCTTTAGTTCAGTGGTTGTCCGTCGGCGGCGCGTCGCCACTCTTGACGTCATGCCGACGGACCCCGTTGGGCCTCGCTGCGCTCCCGCACGTGCCATCTGGCGTCTAGTAAATCCGAAATTCATTTTTCAACTCTAGATTTGAAATTGTTTAATTCGTTAACGTCACTATCAACATTTTATATTATTCTCGGTAATATATGCCCATTGAAGATTTTCCCTAACGGATTTCGAAAAGTAACGATTACGAGACACTCGCTTCTTGGACTTACTTCTCCTCGGTGGAGTGGATCCTTATTCTTGTGAGCTTTCCGATCGGAGATTTGGAAGGCATCCAGGCCAAGTGTTACGATAGTCTTTTCGATGGGGACTGATCCTCTCCATTGTCCACACTCCCGGAGTGGCAACGACATTCTTGTACTTGTCGGTTATCCCCAGCTCGGTATATCCTCGGGCGCCTGGGTTCTGATAGCTCGCTTTCATTACAGCAGCTATCCCTCCTTACGGCTACATATTGGAGATTCTCTTGAGAAAAGCGTCTGATCTGTAACAGGCGCACACTCTTTATAGCGTCTCTTGTGTCTCCCCATTTCCGAGGCGACTTTCGATAAGACCTTCTAGCTCGTTCCTGGCTCCCTTTTTTAGGAACTTTTTCTGGGCTGAATGTCATCAGGTGTCCACAACGACTAGGTCACGTTCCCTCTGTAGCTCCTTATAGCTTGATATTGGCATCATGGTGGTTTCTTGATGAGCTTCCCGTCGAGATCTACAGCGTCGTTGCTGTTGGTTACACGTTAGATAGTATAAAGAAAAATCGAATCGACTAAGAGAAATGAAAAAAAAAAGATTAAATTTTTTAATGATACCTTAGGTGATCGTAGGTGACTGTCGTGAAGCGTTAAGTCCGCTCCATCGAAATACGCGAAAATAAGCCTTTCAGAAAGGCTCGTCAGCATGTAACATCACAAAAAAAATATATATATATATAAAAAGTTGAATCTAGATTATTTTACTAATTAGTACTTGAAATTGATATATTTCAAATGATTATATCACCATGGACCAGACTGAAAGTTTTCAAGAGCCTTCAACAATTTGGGAAGAAAATGGCATTCTCGACAAATTAGATCTCCTTAAAAATTTCACTATATATATATCGGTATACTTACGTTTGTCAAGGGCCCCGTTAATGGACCCAAAGAATCTTCTTCGCGATTCTACGTTATTTCGTGGAACTGTCCCGAGTGTAACCATTGGAATCTAAAGTACGGTCACGAACAAGGACAACAATGTGTAAATATCTTACGGACGCGTAGGAGAGGCGTTAATAAACGCCAAGTGGCGTGGAAAATGCTGAGAAACATCTAAGCGACTTTGGCTACCACCTGACTGCATTGAAATCGCTAAACGTCATTTAACGGCGGTAATATCAAAAGGACCGACTTCGGTCAAAGGAATCGAAGGTGACAATTTTTTATTTCACCCTGTGACCTTACGAACGCCCATTCACTAAAGTCAATGAATGGAGAATTCTTGGGCTGTTGCTTTCGTGAATGGAGCTGAAAATAATGCCGTGACGTTCCTTGCGTTGTGTCGTGTAGTACCTATAGTATACTGTAGTACTATTATATATACTATAGTGTAGTACCTATAGTATACTGTAGTGCAGATTGTGTAGAATATGGATAGTACGGTCTACGATGGTGATCCTGAAAAAAAAAAGGGAGCCCAAAGTACTGTGTAAGGCATAGGACCCCATGCTGGGTCTTTCGTGATACAAGTGTTCCATTGTACCATTTTTGAGAGTGACATTGTGTCGGCTGCTCTTTAACACCATTAACTGCGTTTTACCTTAAATTCACCCCAAAGTGGAATTCCCTCTTGACAAATTTTTCCTTGATTCACGACTTTGCCGTGGCTTTTCATTGGGGTTGGTATAATGCGGCGGGTTGCTACTTCAAGAATTGTGAGAATATGGAAAAGTTAATGTGGCGGACTTGTTTAATCTGATGGAAATCGAACGTGTAACGCTACGAATTAAAGTTACCTATTTAAGCGATACAGAATTCTTGGATAGGGACTATTTATTGTAACTGCTTATTGCGCTGTGTAGCACGAGGAAAACGTTTGCTTAGAACGAGACATAAAGTATACGAGTAGGAAGCGTACAGAAAATATTATAGATCTTTACTGGCAAGTTATTCGAAGTTTGTATTAAGAGAATAAGAAAACGAATAAACGAAGATATTCAAATGTAAATCTACATCTCTCAAAACTCAATTAAGGTAGTTTGTATTTTTAGTAAAATTTGTTCCATAAAAGTAAGATAGTGGAAATGCCATAAAAGAAATGTCCAGAATATATTTTTTAGTTCTTTTTATTTCCTTCGAATTTGTACTATGATACGTAGTAAAAATATACAATTATTCTTGACAATATAGATTCTATTAAAAATATATACAATTTGTACATTCAATTTTTGAGCTGCTACGTAACCGGCTGCACTGGATACTGATAAATAAGGCAAAAATATCGTATCGCCGCCAAATACAAAACTGTCTCACATTACTATAAAAGAGTCTTTTATACTATCTTAAGAATTTACAATATGTTCGACGGTATGCTTTGTGCAATTACGATTTCTGTATACCGGAGTAGCAATGGTTTCTTGAATATGAGAGTCATACGGCGATTCGCTTCTTCTTTTCTTCATCTCAGACTCTTCTAATCTATTCGCCGCCCGCTTAGAACCTCTTGACAAATCATGCACGTCCTGAATAGATGGTAAAAGATCACAAGTCATTGATCGTTGCTGTAAATTTGGCTTCTCATCTCCGCAAGATCTGCGTCGATACTCAGTATCAATTGCCACGGTTAAGCCAGTCGAATTTTCGAAAGTAGAAGAGGACGAGTTATCGTTAGCAAACTCCGAACCGCCGGATGGTCTCATTCTAATAGCCAAGGATTCATCCTGGTGTCCTCTAATCTCGCCATCCTGCTGACGAGCGTCCCGAAATTTCTCCTGACTGACTTCATCCTGCTCGCACTTCCGGCCCTCATCAGCGCAGCCATCCTTTTTCTTCCCGCAGGTTCTCAAACAGCAACACTTTTGACTCTGACCAGCTGGTAGATCCTCTTTCTTATACTTGACTCGGCGATTTTGAAACCAAATCTTCACCTGCTTCTCGGACAGCCGTAAATTCGTAGCAATCTCAATCCTCCTCAGACGCGATAGATACATGTTAGAAGCGAATTCCCTCTCGAGCTCCAACAGCTGAGTACTCGTGAACGCAGTACGAATTCTCTTGGAGCTACTGGCAATGGAATTCGGCGACTTAGGCGGTGGCGTCGGGGTGCTGTTTCGCGAAGGCGACTCATGCGGCACGGTGATATCTGTAAAAAGGAAATAAAATGAATTATTTACAGTTCAAAGTTAGAAATTTTTCTATAACACCGCGAGTCAAGGAAACAACGTGCACCCGAATAAATCCCAAAGGATATTATCAGTGATAAGGATACATCCACCGTGTTCCCACATACCCCCATTAACCTTATTAATATACCATCGAGATATTAACCTGAGAGTCGGCTCGTGGAGACGTTCAATGGCGACGGAGGACTCTGTCCCGGAAGTGGCAGACCAACGATCCCAGGAGGACTCAGAGGAACAGGAACTGGCAATGCTGGCGCTCTGGGCACCGGTCTCACGGGTTGATAGCCCAGACCCAGGTTGAAAAAGTTGAACATATAGTTCGGCAACTGATTCCCGTAGTAGGGCAGTGGGTAAGACGGTGGCGAATTATTGCCGATCAGCGAATCCACCAGGAAGCTACGAGACATCTTAACGTTTCTCCCAACCACCTTTTCACACCCCTCACGAGTACGAGTATTCACTTATGCTTTCACGGTGTTAATTATCTCCACACAGTATCACAGAAAATTCCTATGTTTATCCCGACATCTACACGATCCAGGAAACACCTCGTAGAAGCAATTGGCATTAGGAGAGGCTCCTGGAGAAAATAAATATCCAGGGTTCTACACAGTTCGGAGTCACCCCGAGTTCTGAACCCAAAAAAGGGCCCGTGCTCAGATATATACAGGGTGCTAACTCCACCCAGGGGTTGGTATTCTTTGGGGGGCCTTTGTTAAGGGCCCCGCCCTTCGTAGGTACCCTACCAGCACCCTAACCGACGGGAGCACGATGCCGTCCCTGGGGAAGGTGAATGAGTAGGGCATTTTAGGCGTTAATTCGACGGGTGGTCATTTCTAAAGTTATGTATGCTACCCAATTTTGTTTTCCTAATTTTTGTCAATTTACACAATTATTTTTTTTTCATTTAACTTTGATTATCCCTTCGCGATACCGTGATACTTTCACCTTTATTCTTTAAACTCCTATCAACCTCTCTCGAGAACGTGCTGGAGAATCGAGAGAAGGTAATCGAGATAAGCTGCTTTTGTCAAGTTGAAGACACTTACTTAAGGGTGTCTTCTTCGGAAGCCTTTCTTGGCACGGTAGTACCACTGGATTATGGAGATTTAGAAACAAAAGAGAAGGGAAAAAAAAAACGTTAAACCAACATTTTCAGAAATTCACGATCAAACAGATACAGACTGTCCACGATACTATACATTATTCGGGTATCCATTTCTAAATTGTAATAACGTATACGATAGCAGCTCAAAATTGGCAAACGTATTTATGCAATATTCCAATTTAATGGGAGAACATGCCAAAGTTTCAGACGCGTTGCTCAATTTACATAGCAATCTACGCGAGGGATCGAAATTACCTATTTTCACCTGAGTTATATGGAAATGCAGGAAGCGGCTATATATAAAACCATACGTGCAGCCACATCGAACAATTCAATTTCAATTATCGAAATTGGAAAAACGACACTCCTAATGACCTCTCATTACGTGGCGCAGGTTCGAAAAAAAAAAAGAAAAAAAAACAAGTAATGATTGTTTCTCCTATACTCATCATACTCACTGGGAGTATACACGTACTACACACGACAGTCTGTTTTTAGATTACACCGATCGTACGCATTTCATTGGCCTTGGCGCTAAGCGCCAACAACACCCTCTGTGAAAGTCACAAAGCGGAAAATTAACGTTTAACGTAAAACGTTGAGTATCCGCTGTCACGATCGACGTCAATATTTTCGCTGCGTCATCTATCGCGTTTCGCCTCGTGTGAACGACACGCTCGTCTACACCTGTCCGTCCCGATACAAGAAACTACAGTCCATTTCGAAGGATATTAATAAAAAAAAGTCCTATTTTTTCAATCTGAAACTTCAATTCAAAAATTATTAATACAATACACAGATCGATCGATGAAAAATAATTAAATAAAATTATTCGTATATTTACATCAGCTTGTATTTCTAGGGTTCATTTTAAATAGCTCAATACAGCTCTAATGAGTTCACGCGAGAGTATTGTTATTAGTGGAAATAAAAATTAATTAGTGAATTATTAGCGTAATTATTATTACATACATAGTATACATACGTATTAAGAAAATCAATTCGGTACAAGCCAAGTACGCGGTCCCGTACAGTCACCATTTGAAAGCCTTAATAGGAACAGCTAATCCCGTTACAATGTTACAACCCTGTACCCGCCGGCAACCCCATCATCACATTAAAAATCATAGTAACGTTATCTTATGGGATATTGAATAATACAACGTGCATCTCGGCATATGCTATAGCTAAAAATTATATATATATATATATATTCCATGATTCTAAAAGGGTCGCAACCCTCGAGGGTTGTACGATCCATGAATGTACCGTATGTGTGTACGTGTATGCCATTACTCGAGTATCTCACGTCATTACGTATCAAGGATATTTTAATTTCGGGGCAACCCCACCCGAACTAGAACCATACTATTGGTTCAAATTCGTCCCTGGGCGTGTCGACGATATTAAGGGATGCGAAAAGAGGGTCCTTTTGCCACTGGATTTCCGGATCAGTACTCCGTGAAATATATTCGATAATACAACGATATGAATATACTTTGACTAAAGTTTCAACGTTTTCAAGGTAGCTTGTGATATTTGAAAGAAATTCAAAAAAAATTTATCAACCATGTAAACCAAGGGGATACCAATAAAACGATAGCCAAAGATTTATCAAACGCAATTTATCAGTCCGCTTAATTATATATATTTTCGTTTGACACCCCAGACACTCCCTCAAGAAAATATTTCTCAGAAAGGACGCTACCTTATTTTGTACCGAGAAAAAATAATATTTGTCCCCGACGTCGCCGGTTGGCACGGTGAGAGTGATGGGAGGGTATGTGGGAGGGAAGGGGGGATGAATTGACACGAAAGAGTAGGGCAAAAGTTATCCCGACTTCAAAACTACCGACAACGATGTGCATAAAAATCCCGAAAAATTGTCTCCATCAGGGATTTCCGTGCGAGTGGCGAAAAACTTGAAAAAACTTCAAAACCTTAATAAAACTAACGGGAGTAAGAAGCAAAAGATCGAAATAGCATAAGTAAAAGAGAGCACAGTGCGTATATACGCGAAGGGTTGAGTTCGTAAAATCTGACAACCCCTTGGATTTTTTAATCAATCCTGACAAGCCCCATCTTTTTACGTACCCTTATCTCCCGCCCTTATTTCCAATAATACCTTATACGCGTCCCGTATAGATAAGTAAGGAAAAGCATATCCCAACCTTGAAGCTTCAACCAAGCCGAAGGCCATATTGAATGCTAAGCTGATAGTGACGACAGTGACGTTCGATCAGCCACTATTCTTATTTTATAAAATAAAAATATAAATAAGTTTATACATACGGAGTCACGTGCTTATGTATACAGCTGATACACATATAAATTGTGTGGGAGATCGACTGGACGGAGAAAACGTATATGGTATTTACTTACTCCTTTTTTTTTTTCTTCCTTTTTGGTAAAATCCAAAATTAGCTCGGCTCATTTCACCTGGTAAAAAGTGCATTCTTCATGGAGCACTCGACAAAGGAACATCCCATTGAGTAGCATAGCACGCCATTGGTCAGCCATAAAGGATGGAATAGAAAAGCCGGGAGTAATCATGGGAATGGTAAATACGATTCGAGATGTCTTTTGGTGGCACGCCAAGCAAATAATTGAAAGCTTCAAGAGAGAACAGGTAATAGTATATATATACGTGTGTGTGTCCTTATTGAAAAAAGGGCTAAAAACTTGCGAAAATCCTTTCTTGCCATAGAAGCCCAGGACTGAAACGGCATACGTCTCCGTTCCATTGTCGACGTTATAAAGGATAAAGATATCTGGGCATCGGTAGCGACAAACTTTAAACGATTTGAACGAGACGACAAATCGCTCTCAACCCTTTTCAAACGTTACACATGAATATCCGCTTGAAGTTGTCGCTTCCGTTATTTTCGAAAAACCAACAAGCACTCGATTCAGAAGGATATCGCCCTGCGAATATTTTGATTTGGATCTTCTCGATCTCTATCGTGTCCACGCATAGGAATAGCTCCAGGCAACGTTTGGAAATTCTCCTTCGTTACCCAAGCGCAGAAAATCCAGATCGATAACAGAGGACAGACTGAAAAATTGTACCTCGGTACTGGTAAGCGTCCCAAAGGACAGGACTGAAGCCGCGGGCATTCTCATATTTTTTGTTCTGCGTCTCTTGGAGGGTTCCATTAGAAAAGTTAAAAAAAGAAATAAAAAAAATTTGACGTACGACTCGTATCATCTACGGGTACTATATACGTATCTATGGATAAACTCGGGGCATATACATGTAGGTATGGTAAATAAAGGGATCCGAATTTTTACGCGAAACTGGCAAAATGGATACCTTACACGTCGATGGTCTTTTGTCAGTGATGCTACATTGTTTCCCCAGTATTGTTCGCAACAATAAGAAATACTCCCTCCTCTCGAAATCAGCCTAGCATGCATCATTCGGTAATTTCCCAGTGTATGCGTATACCCGCCGGATAGCATCCAGCATCAGCACCCCATCAGGACCACTTATACTCCGTACTCGGAAGTTTAGTATTTTTGTTTTGACACGCGTAGAAGAGGCTACGTTAGCGGCCTACGTTGTACGGATACCCCATGGGTTGTTAACTCGACTCAATTCACTAGAATCTCCTACGAAATTATGGCTCCTTTATTCACTTTGGGCGTTTAAGATTTAAGCCGTGAGAATATCATGGGATGTAATGACTGGCCCGTGAAACATCATGGGACTTGGTGCTTCGGTCATTCTGGATAAAAAGAACGTTAAGCCCATCTTCCCTGTGTATACTGGAACAATGGGATAAAGTACTTAAAGTATATTCCATAGCGAACAATTGATTTGTCTCGGTGTCTTCCATTATCTCTGTTTTTCAGTGCATTCGAGTTGAGATGATTTTCTTGTTCTTTAATCTTTTTTTTTTCTTTCTTTCTTTAAACTTTTCTACAAATTTACAGAGACTACATTTTCTCGGCGAGCACTTAATCCATAGAAATTGACTGGTGCTTATCGATTCTGACAATAGTATTTTTCCTGGTATTTATTCATATTGATATTAAGGTTAGAATTACAGTAGGAAGTTCATTAATCGTTATGTATAATCTGTTGAGGGGATCATTATTTCTTTGCGTTTCTTGATACCTGAAAATTCTGGAACAATAAGACCCTCGGGCTCTTTTTGCAAATATAATGGCCAATTAAAAAATGAATAAATTCCCATTATGGATTTCATTTGATCTTTGTTACCACGTTTTCGCGACGGTCAATTCGCTAAAAGCTCCTGCCGTTGTTCTTGTACTCATGTCTAACTAGCTCGACGAAAAATGACTGTGCAATGACGACGCAACTAAAACCTTTGAACCGAATCCTTTTATAAAGCTCTAATTTTCCTGCACCCCATTTCTAACGATACGGATACGTGTTAGAAATTCATCACTTCGTCTGTTTGCTAAGGGCCCATGGGAAGGTGCTGTAAGACTCTTTATAAAATATGTTCGGTATAGGTTACTTCGAGGAACGATTATGCAGATACGGATACGAACAAAAAATGACAAGGAATGCTATGGGGACGATATCAAAAATGTATTCACCGCATCGCATTATGAGCCGATTTCTACTGTGAATAATGTATACAATAACAGAGAGGAATGAAAAAAAATTTTATTTCCAAAAAAAAGAGAACAAATATTATTATTATCGACAATGGAGCTTCGTGTTCTTAGTAATCGTATTTAATGTAACTTTATTGCAGATTCCCCTATGTGTAACAACAATGAAATAAAATTGCAACGTAACAACGTTTCGCAAAGCGGCTACCCACTTCCGTTCACGTGTCGCAGAATGCACGCGTGCAACGGGTAGTAGGAGTCGCCGACGCCCACTGATTAGAGATCCATCATTGCGCTAATAGAGGCATTGTCAAAAATCGAACAGTCAGGAACAAAAGTTTCGCACGATAATAAAATCCAGCGAGTATTCGCGTATCGTTAACGATGTATCGAAATAAAATCGATAAACCGATAAAAGCATGCTGGTTACTATTTTGTCTTATGAATTAAAAAAAAAAAACCAATTCTTGGCATGCGATACGACACGCGTATTAAAAATCACACAGCCAGGTGTTACCAACCTACGGGAATCCCCTAAAAATGTCCTAGGGAGTCACGAGTCCATAAAATCCCATAAACACCCTGTGGAGTGGTCCAGCGCGCGCCTGAAAGGAATAAAATATCGCTTTTCAGGCAATTTTACGGCAATTTTCCGATCGGGTGACTACAGCTCGCGCAGGACACACTGATCCCAGGTGATGCTTTAGGACTTACGATGCTCCTTTACGTTTCAGTTTTTTTTTCTTCTCTCTCTCTCTCTCTCTCTCTCTCTCTCTCTCTCTCTCTCTCTCTCTCTTACGAACACGACACGACCACGAACTATTCGCTTAATAGCGGCACCGCCCAAAACGACGAATTTTACGTGGTTTCCAACACAAAAACACGGCATTGGTAAATGGCCCGTGCTCGTATTCATAAACTTGTGAGCTTCCCTACTTGATGATAGAAAGTGCTTCCCAATTTATTTATTCACTCACAGGGGTTTCGATGAACTCGAGAGAAGCATGAATGCAGAAGAGGATTTATTACCGGATATTCAGGAAAAATTGGTATGTACGTTCGAGTCGAGTACCTTCTAGATATAGTAAATAATTATTTAAATTAAAAATTAAATGTTCTAGGATACTTGAATTGTGGTTAAAAATTTCTTTGTCTATAAACGGTATTATTGTTACTTAGGATTATTAAATTTTATACAAAAGTTGTGTATCCTTTCATTTTTACGGCTACGTAAAACCGTGATTATACGTGGTCCCACCCGTTAGGAGCTATTTTACATTTTTCGTATCCGCCAGTTAACGCGAATCGAATCGGCTGAAACGTTAACAATATTCCAGCCCCCCACTGGCCTCCCTTCTTTCATAAGCACAAACTCGAATGACAGAGAGATACGCCATTCTGCCCAAAGTATTCCGATATTGTGTTCGAGTGGAGTCGAGTGTAGTGTAGGGCCGTGATTTAGTCATGGCAAATTAGTCACGGAAAGCTTCCTCTACAATAAATTATATCCTCGACACACGGTAGACACTACTGGTAGTATATTCTAAGGATAATTTCAAACGATTCTGTACCAGTCGCCCAAGGCTCGGAAAATCATACACAGCGTGTGCAACATCCTGTAAGTTTTCGACGAATCAACACATAAGAAAAACAAACGAGAAACTTGTCAGCACGAAATTTAGTACGAGGATGTGCTGCTATAACGTAAGAAAAACAAACTTGGATATTTACGACTATGAAAATGACTTCGCGAATACCTTTCAAATACGTATATACCATTTTGATAAACTTTTAATTAAATTACACTAACTCTATTTGCTCGAACTTCGTTCGACCAAAATTTTTCTCACGTACTCTCAGAACCTTCATTGAATCGCGTAGTAGCAATATGACCTGTCATGTTTTCTATCCGCACAGCACTGAATTTTCTGTTATGACTCTCGAAACTTCTATTTAGGTTATGCAGTATAACACAGTACCGTAGAAATACATTCGTCCGTTGATATGATTGCACAATTTCAATGCCGAAAGTGACGGCAGAACTTTTTGATGTTGAGAAAATTCGATAAACCCTCGACGCGAAATGCATTATGAAAAATTAGTAGCGTTACGCCGACGCGTGCCACGGTAAATATTTTTCTCTAATACAATTTTCAACGTGCACTGTAAATCATAATCTAGTCAGCAGTGCGCAGTGCCATCTAGTGTTTCATTGTTCGAAGGTCTTACTAAAGGAAATCACATAATGGTCGATAACAATCTTCTACTTAACGTTGAGTCCGCGTTGGGTATATTGAAAGTTCTTTTGTTCCTGATTACCAATTGTGGGGCAATAATGAAAGCCGTGTTCGTGCGAACTCTTAAATTGATGAAAACTTCAAGCCTGACAATTATGAAGCGTTGAAATTAATAGTTTCGTGATACATAATATTATAGATTCGTAAGGGACGAGTGAGAGGCGTTAAACGCGAAAACTCGAACCACGAATTTTGGAATTTGCATAGATATGAAAGGGAACTTTGATATTTCTATTTGAATATTCTCCAGTCCTTCGTCATACTTTGGAAACGTTGACGTACCCTATATTCCCATAGGTTTATATACATAGAGCGATATAGAACACGAATCTAGCGGTTAACGCGTTTGGCCCTTAGCCAAACTTTATGGCTGAAACGTACATACGTAACAGTATATTTACTCAGGCCAGATTTCCTTTCAATTCCATATCAAGAGGGATCTAATCCCTCAATATATGAGGCTAATTTGTAACTTGTAATCTCTCGTAAATTGCCTTGCCTAACGTAGATTTATAGGTGGAGAGGACAGTTTTTACTTATTGTACCAGATCTAACGTACGGAAATAGCGTGGCGCGTCCTTACTTCAGTTTTTTTTTGGACTACCTCTGTACAACCGCAGGGGTTAAAGAATCTTTTGCATACTTATAAGCAATTATTTAAATTATTCTCAGAATATGTTTTATTTAAAAAGTAACGTTGGATATAGATTTTATTATGATTCATAAGGGTTAAAATTTACTTTAATAATTAACATGATAACGAGAGGGTTCAAATAACTACACGCTTAGTGTATTGTCTTTGCGAGCTATAGTACATCCTATCGTATTCAACAGACTTCTATCGGTCGATATATCGATTTCTCGTTACATACGATATTCCGGAGACCCATCTATATCATGGGCGTGCGTTACAGTTGAGCTAGCAAAGGTCAAAAGAAATAGTAAAAAAGCAGAAACAATTAAATATCGCACTATCGGTACAGTAATGAATAATCGATGATTTATCAGCCAAAAAAAAGTGATTTATGTTATTTGAAATTTTTTCAGCTTACAGATGTTGAAGTTACAAATATTTCAGAATATGGTATACGTGTCGTGGCCTTTATTAGCAAGAAAAATCCTTTACTCCCCTCCGAACCGATTATCACTCCATTCGAGCGAAATTATTGGGAATCCTTGTCCCTGTCGGATTACGTAGTTTCCAAAAAAGCGCAAAAATCTTGCATTAGCATAAGCGGCTTAACAGTCTGGGCTCGTGGCAACGGCAGCTGGAAGCTATCTATCCAAAATCTATCCCTACCCGTCAAAATGGCGGGTTAATCCGATAAATACGAAAATTATCGAAAGAGTGAGAGTGAGAGAGAACGACAGAAGGAGGGTGAATCAACGGGGGAATGATATTCCAAAACTAGGGAAAGGTTACACGGTACCTACAGTTACTACCAAGGGTGGATTTGTTTAATAAGTGGCAAGCGTAAGGGTGTCTTCCCTTTAAAATCCCTTTTGATACAATGCATACAATATCGACGATACACCAAGTTTCCTGACGGCTCGCCAAACAAAACCTATACCCAACCTCATCGTATTGTCATGCCTCTCTTACTAATCTTAGATCACGTCGACTGGCATTACCCTCTGTGACTATAGCCACAGACTGTACTAAATCTGAAGTCAAAGAAATACGAAGCACGTTTATCCGACGTTATGACACTTGGTCAAACAAAAAAACTCTATCCATTTGAAACGGACGTGGGCGCACTCTGTCGGAGGATGACTGGTAGATGTCAAAAAGTTTTATGTAAATCTATCTTGGTTAGGTTTCTGAATTTTTCGTGTTATCGTAGTATAACTTTTTTTTTGTTACTTTTCCCATATGAGATTAGCAACATAAGAAACGCCATATTCCATGGGAATATACTGTAATCGGGGTACTTCAAATTTGCTATTCCGTATCATGGCTGTTTACCGTTGATTATATTTTCGTCTTGGCAATGCTCTACCCTAATCATCGAGTTTGCACGTTATGGATCCACTCCCGCCCATCTCACCCACCTCAATTTGATACAACTTAGAAAGTTCCTTCGTGTTGAA